ACTAACTTCTAGCTGCTATACACATATACTTTTGCAGTTCAGAATCTAAAGTTAAACCAATGACCAGACTAAATTGGTTGTTATAGGATGACGCGCTGACAGGTATTCACGGTTGACTTGATGAACTCTGCTGTATGGTCAGATATTATATAATTTGAGTACAGAATCTGCTATAGTCATTAAAATCTAACTAGCAAGAAACCTATACCAGCCAGGCTCTATTCATAATAAATTTTAGTAGAAACTGGTCCTGATTTCTTTGACTATTTTCTTTAAAGAATAATGTATTACGATTCTTTTGCTTTAAAGCTCTACAGAGACGGGCATTTATTTTGAATTGTAGAGTGAAGTACATATTTCTTAAAATGAAAATATGTGGCACAATTTCATTCATAAACAAACTCTATTTTTTATTCATGGTAAACTTATTATAGTCTGTGATAAGGAGAATTCTGCTGTAATCTGTTTAATCTCTGCAAAGTATATATTAGTGCACCACTTAATTCTATAGTAATCTAAAAATATTAATAAAAGATCTCCAAATTGTTTGGATTTTAATTTTATTTAAAATATAAAACAAATTTCAGTACGGCAGTAGAATAAATCATCTACCTATGGAGTACCAATTTATATTGCGCGCAAAGGCTTTAGCAGCTTTGCAAGTATGGCTTCATAATATTATATACTTTTTGAAAATTAATTTAATCTTAAGTTATATTTTTCTGATTTGTTATTACTGTATTGGTTTTAGAAGTACAAAAGTGTTATTTTTTTAAATGCTGTTTATTTTGAGTTTGATATGTTGGTGATGAATTTGTTCACCTATAATTTGAATAGTCGCATCACCATGAATATAACCAGTTACGATTTCAACAATCTAACTCATTTTTTTGTTTTTAATTTATTGATAATGGCCGACATCGTGATCAGCCTGTATACACCGAGTGTCGATCGAACATGCCTTGTACCAATTTTCAGCAAGATTGGATATTTTGTTCAGGTATTATATCAGTATGTGCTTCCGATATCCATTGTTAATTCAAGAATTTGTGCCATTGACCCCTGTACGTGATCCCTGTGTTACAAAGTTATGTTCATGTTCAATATTATAAATTAAAACAAAACAAAGAAAAAAGACTTCATTTCTCAATTTTATTAAATTCTAATCTCTTACTTCTCAGTTCCTACATGTTACATACAAAGACGGTCTCATCATTAATACATCTAGGTTGCTACAAATAATTTCCAGACAACCTTTGCGGTAACCTGTTAGGTTACCTGCCCTGAAATTGTTTGACTTAAAAATACATTATGGAAGATTAAATAAAGAGCTGACAATATATAATAGATAAAAAACAGATTATAATGTAAATGGGAAATGTCGAAAATTTTAGTGAAATTGCTTCAATCTGATTCATATACACAGTAGCCTCGATTGTCATTTTTACCGCTGTTACGATAATAAAAAGAAGACTTGATTATCCATTTTTGCGGTTAATCAAGGGCGTTGGACAGAAAATCGGATTCAAATCTAATTAAATTCGGACCCATAAGATGCCATCGAGGTCGTTGATTATGGTCTTTTTAATAAATGTCTAATTAATAGTTTATATAACATTTCAGACCTAAAGAAAGACCTGCAATAGTCAGATTTAGCTCTTGCATAATGTTTATGTTTAATTAAGCGAAAACATTAAATTTTAATGAAGGAAAAATGGGAAATTGAAAATATTTTTAAGTAAAGTAGTACAATAAAGAAATTGCAAAAAGACTTTACCTGTAAAAATTCTTATGCTCTCTAACAAATCTGTGTAGTTGTAACATGGTTTAATGTAAATCGCACCTGTTTGTGCGACTGTTTACTTGTCATGTAAATACAACTGTTGAGGGCGCAATAAGTTTAACATATCCCAAATAAACACTTTAATGACATTCTGATTTTAATTTTCTGAATACTTATTAATATCTACTAAATGCAATGGGTATAATTCCACATTGAAGCCGATACAAGTGCGACTAATCCCATATGGGTAAAATATTGGACCCAGATGTATTATTTTATATGTGGTAGATGCCATATAGATAAGATATTGGCCCCAGATACACATGTGGGTAATCCCATATTAATACCATATTGAACCCATATACATAATATACATGAATGTGGTTATATCATATCCATACCACACAAGCTTTTGGTGCACATATGCGTAATCCCTTCTGTGCAGATTGGTTCACAAAACTAAAACTATGGATTCAATAATGAACTTATACATACAAATAAGTAATCCCATATGGATACCATATTATCCCCAGATACACAAATGGGTTATCCCATATGGACACCATATGGGCCCCATGTATACAAAACAGAGTTGTTAATGTGGGTAATCCCATATAGACCCTATATTGGCCCCAGATACACACACTATAAGGTCAGATTATCAATGTAAGAAAGAAGTAAGCATTATACCATTTGGCTTATCTCTGTGATATTAATTTACACACAACTAAAAGTATGGATTCAATAATGAACTTATACATAGAATAATAAGTAATCCCATATGGATACCATGTTGGCCCCAGATATACAAAAGTTATATGTAATCTCATACAGATAGCATATTATCCCCAGATACACACACGGGTAATCCCATATGGACACCATATTGGTCCCATGTGTACAAAAACAGAGTTGTTAATGTGGGAAATCCCATATAGATCCCATATTGGCCCCAGTTACACACACTATACGGTCAGATTATCAATGTAAAAAAGAAGTAACCATTATATCATTTGGCTTATCTGTGTGATAGTAATATATACACAACTAAAAGTATGGATTCAATAATGAACTCATACATAGACTAATAAGTAATCCCATATAGATACCATGTTGGCCCCAGATAGGCAAAAGTTATATGTAATCCCATACAGATACCATATTATCCCCAGATACACACACGGGTAATCCCATATGGACACCATATTGGCCCCAAGTGTACAAAAACAGAGTTGTTCATGTGGGAAATCCCATATAGATCCCATATTGGCCCCAGATACACACACTATACGGTCAGATTATCAATGTAAAAAAGAAGTAACCATTATATCATTTGGCTTGTCTCTGTGATATTAATATATATATGAAAATAAAGTGTATTTGCGTACATTTGTATGTGGTAAGATAATATGGGTCCTATATGGGGACCTTGTGGTATCACCTGGGCCCACAGCCTATTTTTTTCCCAGATGGTCCCCATGTGGCAATGTTTATGGGGTCTACACTGAGTATGTTGGGATGGCCTAGTTGTCTAGAGTCTAGAGTGCCGCACTTTGAGCTTTAGCTGGCCGGTCACCTCTGGTTTGCGGTTGTGTTTTCGATCCATGGTATGAGCGTATGTAGCTTGGAGATAGGGGCGTCTTCTCAACCTCGTGGGTTTACTCTGGGTACTCTGGTTTCCTCCCACAACAAAGACCCCTGTATGTGTGCTAAGATAATAAAAATGAAAAATAAGACTTGTCTATGATATCACCTTCACTACAAGCGGACGTTAAATAGTAAGAACAACAGAACGTTTTGCTCCACGTTCGAGAAATGTTCAGTTTGACATTTTACATGGATTACTGCTGTGTTCTAATCATATTGTTTCCCGAGTTGACCATCTGGAAATATCGTCTTATAGTAGATACATTCTAGAATTAATATTAATGCAAAATATAAGTAAATACAATTGTCTTGGGGTGAATTCCAATTTTCTCAAAGCGAATTCCGGTGTTTTTAAGTAATTTATTAAATGTAAAATATAACTAAATACAAAGTTCTTAATTGCGAATTCCGATATTTTGAAAGTGAATTCCGGTGTTTATAATATGTTTTCAATGTCCGATTTTCTCAAAGTGAATTCCGGTGTTTTAAAGTAATTTATTAATAATGTAAGATATTCGTAAATACGAAGGTCTTAAGTGTGAATTCTGATATTTTGAAAATAAATTCCGGTGTTTATATGTTTTCAATGTGAATTCCGGTGATTTTCGGTGTTTTAAAGTAATTTATTATTAATGTAAAATATTAGTAAATACGAATGTCTTAAGTGCAAATTCCGATATGTTGAAAGTGAATTCCGATGTTTGTATGTTTTCAAAGTGAATCCTGGTGTTTTAATGTAATTTATTATTGATGTAAAATATTCATAATTAAATCCAGATAGCTTCTTTGTTGTTGAACAGTAAAGTAATACTAAATCTTAAACACGCATTATGCAAGAGCTAAATCTGTCTATTGCAGGTATTTCTTTAGGCCTGAAATGTTATCTAAATTATTACTTAGACATTAATTAACTTATCCAGACCATAATCAACTCTAGATGGCATCGCTAGCCTGCGATCTTAAGTGGATTGTGAGCCAATTTACTGTATAACTTTCCTTCTCGATTAAACGATTAAATGGTTAATCGAGACTATGTTGTTTATCGTACTGACTTTAGTAATGATGACCGAGGCTAGGCAGAAATTTCATTCGCTTATTTCTCGGTTCATAGTGGATCAATTTGAATAAAATTTTCAGCAAATTGCCTATACGTTATATAGTTTTTAATTATTATAGTGAGAACTGCCAACTCGTTATCGAATCTCCCATAATATATCTTTAACTATAAGATGATTATATCATTGTTATGTTATCAACAACATTGATTAGCCAAACAACATTTTATTCATTGTTGATTAGTTTGTTGTTTTAAGGAGTGTTATGTTTGACAACAATTTTATTTACTTGTGGAACTACACCTATTATCGTTTGAATAGAATTGCATAATTAGACTAATGAGATTAGTTGTATGTTACATTTAAAGCAACACATTCTTAACTCCAATACAATCATATTTCAATGTATTAGACTGTTAAATTTGTAATAGACAACAACATGATGTATATATATATTGGCTTGTTTAAATATATCCCACACTTTTTTTAAGGCAATAGTATATCTTTCTTTTTAGTCATTACATTAAAGAAATACTGGTAAATCGTCAAGAAATAAATTAATCAAGATGAATTATTTGGGTACAGTTTCCATCTTAGATAGGGGAGATGCCCCTGCACAAGCTGTTGTTGATAGAAATGCCAGATCAATGGCTCAACGAGTGGCTAATGAAACTAAGGAAGAACTGGAAAAGGTTATGAACAGAGTAGAAAATGTAAGTGAAGGATTATAATTGTTATTTTTATTAAGATTTCTCAGACACTTATTAGCTCTTTCTCTAAGTCGGTACCTGTTAAGCAATATCAAGGTGTTGACATAGGAATGTCATAATGTGTTAAATTGATACATAGTTGAGCAATCTGAAAACTAAAATCTTGTATTTAGTTTAGAATTTCTGTGGACAGATTGAAGTTTTACACTACGAGGAATTGATATTTTACAATCAAACAGTTATACCATTAAACTCACAATGCAGTATTGCACACTGCCACATCAAGGCAGTTGTAACATCTTAATTCAGTTAATCAGTGCAGTTTGGAGTCTACAGAATGAAGAATCAAATTTAGAATATTTTCAACACAATACACAATTTCTCTGGTTACGTATGAATTGCATGGAAAATTATCCCGCCTATTAATCTTCGAATTCCAAATGCCAAGAGTTCTATTATGTGCACATATGTCAATAGGTAGACCTTTGTTTTCCGGCCCATCTGAACTACTAGTCACACTACTTTCATAACCAGTGTTAGTCTGGTTTGAAAAATCACACTGAGATTTGATTGAACCCTTGATATTTTTGTTAGAGGTCAATCTTGTATCCAGGTGCAATTGGATACGAGTTAAATTTTGCCTATCATACTATTCATTGAATTCCAGTTGCCAAGGGTTCTTTTACGGGCATACAGATGTGTACACAGGACCTCAGTTTTTCATTCCATCTAGAAGATTAGACACAGTCCAATCCCAGGCCCCCCATTCTTAATCACTGACAAGGGAAACCATGCTGGAATTAATGAGGAACTTTTAAAGTTAACTACATGATTGAACTGGAACCTCCGGGTTTGTGAGCCAGTGCATGTCACTGTTCCCCTGTGGCTCCCTACGGTCCATTAAACTTTTCACATAATCTTGCATCATGAAATCTTATGTGAAAGAAACATGTAGGTGCAATTTAGCTGGACACATAGAAGCTTTGCTGATTTTATATGAATTTCTACAGAAAAGGACAACAAGATCATACTTATTTTTCATATTTTACAGATTTATCAAAATTTTGAAATGACAGATGAGTTATATTCAGATCATAATCCTAATTTGGAATTTGTCAATGATATTGTAAGTATATTTTATTGAGTTAAAAGATTTCCAAATATTCTTTTTGATTTGTTCAATCAAACTTTATACTGATAACAGTCAATGGTGCTTTTGAAGCACTTGAATAGGTAATAAATATAAGCAAACATTAAGGGTACTATCCAAAACTATTTTACAATTTTATTTTTATACGCCCATATTTTCATGTGGACGTATTATGCCGTCGCCCCTGTCCGTCCGGACGTCCACAATTGTTTGTGGACTCTCTACAGGTCACAATTCTTATCCGATTTTGACGAAACTTGAAATATAGGTTTATCCCCAAAAGATCTCGGCTGCTTTTGATATTGGCATGTATCAGATCGAAACTTCATGCATTATGGCCCCTGATTGTACAAAAAATCACGTTTTTAGCTTGTGGACCCTATAGAGGTCATAATTTTTATCCGATTTAAAAAAATGTATTATTATATCACCGTTACACCCTAAGGGCGGCTGATTTCGAATTTCGTGAAAATCAGCCCAAAATTGACAGACAAAATGGCCGCCGTTCGTTCTCAAATAGTGTAAAAATATGGTATATCAAGATTGTGGACCCTATAGAGGTCACAATTTTTATCTGATTTTGTTGAAACTTGAAATGTATGTTTATAACCCAAAGATCTCTGTTCCTTTCAATATTTGTGCATATCGGACCTTAACTTCCTGAATTATGGCCCCTGATTGTACAAAAAATCGCTTTCTTTTTAGCTTGTTCTCTATCCATCTCTCGAAAATGTGGGCGTATCCTGTCTGGCAGCCGCTGGTTTTATATTGTTTCTAGTTTTTTAGTTCCAGCCTAATTGTGATTTAGTTATTATTAAGATTTTATATTTTGCTATATAGGCTGAGCTGGCAGAAATACTGCAAGATCAAGTTAAAAAGAAAAAGGTAAATATGCATATCAGTCACTTATCAATTCAAATCAACATTTCATAATGGTAACATTAGGCCTAGATATAACATTAACTGATATTATAGTCTAAAACCTGTATTGACCTGTATACTATACACTTAATTAGTTTAGAAATTGTTTGAATGTTTGTTTACAGTATCAAGCACAAGTGACAGTATTTATAGTTGGATTTCAAGAAGTCAGTTCTCAAAAACTAAAACTTCTTCAACAAGTCAGTGAGGTAAGAGGATTTAACATGGCTGACTAATATACCATTATTGAAATATGTGTAATGGGGCTATACACGATGTTCAACTTCATGAGATGACGATCCCTATCCCTATCGATTTTTATACGCCCATATTTTCATATGGACGTGTATTGTCGTCGCTCCTGTCCGTCTGTCGATCCGTCCACAATTGTTTGTGAACAGTCTACAGGTCACAATTTTTATCCGATTTCAACAAAACTTGAAATATGGGTCTATCTCCCTATAGAGGTCACAATTTTATCTGCTTTTGTTGAAATTTAAAATGTAAGTTTATAACCCAAAGATCTTTGTTCATTTCGATATTCGCGCATATTGGACCGTAACATCCTGAATTATGGCCCCTGATTGTACGAAAAATCACATTTTTTAGTTTGTGGACCCTATGCTGGTCAAAATATTATTCGGATTTAAAAAATTGTTTGAATATATCACCGTTGCATTGTAACATTGGTGAATATGAATTTTGTGAATATCGGCCCAAAACTGCCCGACAAAATGGCCGTCCCTCGTACGCTCTAGAGGTCACAATTTTGATCCGATTTTGATGAAACTTGAAATGCATGTTTATAACCCAGAGAACTTGGTTCCTTTCGATATTCGCGCATATCGGATTGTAACTTCCTGAATTATGGTCCCTGATTGTACGAAAAATTATTATATGATTTAAAAAAACATTCAAATATATCACTGTTACACCGTAATATATCACTGTTACACCGTAATATATCACTGTTACACCATAACTTTGGATGAGTTTGAATTTCATGAAAATTGTACCAAAACTTCCCGAATTATGGCCCTTGATTGTACAAAATATCACGTTTTTAGCTTGTGGTCCTTGTAGAGGTCACAATTTTTATCTGATTTAAAAAAAACGTGTGAATATATCACCGTTACACACTGAGATTGTGGTTCCTTTCGATAATCGCGCATTTTGGGTCCTAACTTCCTGGATTATGGCCCTGATTGTTCAAAAATCACATTTTCTCTAGAGGTCACAATTCTTTTCCCGATTTTAAAAACTGTTTAAATATATCGGCATTCGACCATAATGAAGGTTGAATTCGGATTTCGGGAAAATAGAAATGAAACTGCCCGACAAAATAGTCGCTATTTGTTCGCAAATTGTGTAAAAGTGTGTAATACGAAGGTTGTCGACCCTCTAGAGGTCTCAATTTTTATTTGATTTTGATGAAACTTAAATCATATCTTTATATCCCAAAGATCTCAGTCCCTTTTGATACTTGCACATTTCAGACCATAACTTTCTGGATTATTCAACTGATTGTACAAAAAGTCGCATTTGTTTATAGCTTGTTCTCTATCCATCTCTTGGAAAATGTGGGCGTATCCTGCCTGGCAGCCACTGGTTAAAGATTTCCAATAAACACTGTCAGATTTATCACCTTTGATCAATTTGAAAAACATTGTGGTCGCTGTATAGGCTAAAAATATCATCCAAGTTGACCCTGAAGTGATTTACGATAATTATTTTCAGAGTTAAAACCCTTGGTCAATTCTTAAAATCTTGTAGACGCTCTTGAGGCTAAAGTTATTGAAATTGTTTCAGTGCAAGAGGAATCCTATTGATTTTCAAAAATATCTGATAACTACTGTCTGATTTATGGCCCTTGATTACTCTGAAAATTTGGAGGACACTCTAGAGCAGGATTGCCAACCTCCTGCACAAGTCTGTAATTACCTTTGTGGACAGCTTAGTTGCTGTGTGTATATGTTCCTTTGTCTGGCAACTCATCTTTTCATTAATAATGATAAACAGATAAGTCATTTTTGTTGTTTTAGTTTTTCACAGAGAGTATGAAGATTTTTGATGATGATGAAATGCTGTCAACACCAGATGTAGATTTAGATGATGTGACATATAAAATAGATGAAACATTAGACGTGGCTCATGGTCTAGCAAACAGACTTGGAGAAATAAATCAAGAGATCATCGACTATTTACTTCGTTATGCAGAAAATAAAGCAAAAAATAAGTAAGTATTTGTCAATGGAATGCTCTGCATACAGCTGAAACATGTACTTAATTTATTTTAAGGGCAGATTTTAATTCATGTTCTCATTTTGATTTAAAAATCTATAAAGTTTGGGAAATCACGAAGTAGTTGTTGGCTTCACACTTCATTATGGTGGTCACATCATGCTATTGCCTAAACGATTTCTCTAAATTTATGTCTCGTACAAGCCCAAAACACAGACAGAAAATCTTCAACGTATAAAGTTGCGCTGATTGTCAATGTACAACTTAAATAATGGAGCTTTGATTTTCCAAAAGAAACATGTTGCACGTTTGATTGCAATAAAAAATATTTTTTAAAATTCATCCACGTGTAAAGAAACGATTAAAAGAATGTTTTTGAATACAGGAACAATTAAAAAATAAATATATGCTTTAATAAGTAATAATTGATATATGTTTTATTAATGTATCTATAAAGATCAGCTCAAGGGGAAGGCAAGTAAGTCAGGTTATGATGTTGTGTGTTTTAGTTGTATTATTGCTTGGTTTGCTATTTTTGTTTGAAGTGATGAAAATGTATTAATAGACATATTGCCAGTTAACATCAGCCATGTTTCATGTCACAATGTCATTGGCCAACTTAGGAAGAGAAGGGGTAGTCCAGTGCTTTCTCACTTTATCCTTAGTTGACCATTGACATTGTGACTTTATAACATGGGGAATGTGAACATGCAAGAGGTCTATAGATGGTGCACAAAACTGTTTTTGCATGACTCCTGTAGATTTCCATCTTTTAAGATATTTTGTAAGCATTTGATAGTAAAACATAAAAATGTACAACAAATTTTCATACTGTAAAGCAAGAAATCTTGGCATGCATGAAAACAATGCAATATCAAGTCATAATAGTACAGTTTGCATTTTATTTCATGCTGAATATCTAGATTTAATTAGCTACTAGTTTGAGGTCTTAAGTGCAGTTGAGAAAATTACCTTTACACTCCGCAGAGTTATCTTGATTTAGCCAACAGCATGTACCTTATAAGGTCCATGCCAAAAGCAAATAAAAAATGTTCTTATTTTTTATGATTTTTTCACTGCATTTTAAATGCCATTTTAACACTGTATATTTGGTAATTCATAGCTATCAATTGTTCTTACATTTAATTGTGGTGTTTGTATTTCACTTATTCCTATTTGAACAAACTGTATCTAGATTTGCATAATTTTTTTCTAGGAATATGATTATGTTCTTTATGTTTATGACATCTATCAACCATAACTGGTATATTTTCCAGATTTCACTGTTTAGAATGCCAACATGCTACTGCATATGATCAGGGATTCCTATAACGTAAATGTTGAATATTCAAAAATCTTCCATCTAAGTCGATCGACATGTAGACTTTTCAGGCTCAGTTCTTGCTTGTGTTTGGGGGGCATAGAATATATCTAGTCATTTAAATGGGATAGAAAATCAAGGTCCCATGTATAAATTGGAAGTGGACATAAAATAGCCCTTGGCAGTTGGAAGTCCCTAAAGTTTGAAAGAAATTAACACCCATTACTATCATATATAAAACTGACAACATTGTGTGTATTTAATGTTTTAAAAATATGTCAATAAATTGCAGAAAAATAAAGTTTTGGAATATATATTTAAATTCCCAGATAATTGCTGTGACAGGTAAAATTAGGAAATTGAAGTTATATAGGTATTATAATTTTCATCTGCTGCAGAATCAGTATGCATAATATACATCTTTTGTTTGTAGGATTGTCAATTTTTTTTAACATTATGTTGATTTTGTTCTTTTAATAAAGGGGAAAGAAGAAATTGGAGAAAGCTTTACAAGCTGCTAAAGATGATATGACAAATCTTAGTGAAAAACTCCTTTCAATACAATCAGGTAGGTTGACAAAGTTCATCACATTACATAGTAAATAATAACAGAGTTTAAAGTTTCAATACTTTATATTGATTTTATACTGCCATCTACTTTTACTCTTAGACTGTTAGCGGAAGTATTAATGATGATTCTTTTCTATCCATGAACATCAAGGCCAAATTAAGATCCAAATTACTAAATAGTCAAATGATTGTTGTGATTTTGGTGCATTGATGCTTTAAAATATTTAGATTGTTTTTATCATATGTTGTACATTATATTTGTATCATACATTTTTCATTAAATATTGAATATGTACATTATATTTGAACATTATATACATTATATTTGAACATTATATACATTATATTTGTACATTATGTAACATAATTTATATCATATATTGCACATATTTTCCTATTGTAGATCTGGAGGACAAAGAAGAAAAAATGCAGCAACTGTATAAACAACTAGAAATAAAAACACTAGAAAATCAGAAATATAAGTCAGCAGCTGAAATAGCTAAGGTATGTTGTTCAAATAAAGATTGCTATATGTATGTTCGTAAATATTGGTTTGATATATGGTTCCACGTTGGTCCGGTAATGACTGCTTGATAAATAAAATAGACTGAAATATGGAGTATTGCTCTTCAAATCAAATCTAAACAGCAAAAAAACAAACGTCAGTACGATTTCAAAATCAGAGAGGCACTTTAATCAAATCATTCTAGAAAACGACTTACTAAATGGATCAAAGCAATTTTTTGTGAACAGTATGTTGACACATTAGTGATTAATTCATCACAATTGCAAGACATTGTGAGAAGGTTTACAGTCTGTACACAGTCTATACATCAGTATCTGGTGTGTCCACCGCGAGTGTCAGTAACAGCAGTGCAGCGTCAGTACATGGAGAGGACCAGACAATTGATTAACGCCATTGGCACCTGGAACCACACTCTTAGAAAAGCCTGACGCAATCCATCGGCTGTGTTTGGTCTCGGTACGATGTTATTAAGTCTCCTCTGAATTTCATCCCAAAGATGTTCAATCGGTTTTAAGTACGGACTAAGGGCTGGCCAAGGCATAATGTTGACACCGTTCTGCTGTAGAAAGTCCCGAGTAACTCTGGCGACGTGGGCACGGGCGTTGTCATGCTGGAAAACGTTGTTTCGATGAGCTTGATCAATGTAGCGCATTGCTGTGATGCCGCCTCCTCTCCCTGGAGTGGACCAAGATTTTGGAACACCACAGGACGCACTCTCTGGTTCAGACGGATTCCACCCCCAACCATTATGCTTGGACCTCCCCATGAGTCTCGTTCCATGACACATTGGTCAGAATAAAGCTGGCCACGTCGATGCCATATTCTGGTCCTGCCATCTGTAGTTGATACGCAATTCCAACTCTCATCTGTGAACAGAACAGTTCTCCATTGCCTGTGTCGCCAGTTCTGGTGTTGTTGGGCAAACTGTAGATGTTCACACCGATGGCGAGGGGTGAGGATCGGTCCATGGTATGGTCTACAGCAATAAATGTTCTCTCTGGTGAGACGTTGGCGCACTGTATTGGTACTGATGGGTCTTCCATGTGTTCCAACTGTCAGACGTGCTGTCTCAGATGCCTGTGTGAAGGGATTCTGCACTGGTCTACCAGTTCGGGGGCGATCATCCGTGGTGTTGGTGGCCCGAAAGCGTTGCTGAAGCCTGTAGATGGTCTGAACATTGACCTGGAAGTGATTGGCAACCGCTTGGGAAGTGTAGCCAACGTGGAGTCTTCCAAGCACCTGGTTCCTCTGAGCTGTCGTGAGTCGTGGTATCCTGTTGACGTCGTAGTGTGAATAATTCAACCAGGTATGGGGGTGCATTTTATAGGGCTGGTCCCGGTGAACAGCACATGCAGCGGCGTGAGTTACATGACAATCATGGAGATCACATTACCATCTCAAAAGTCAGGTTGCGTTTTTGAGAACATTCCCTGGGTTTAATTCTGTGTTTGGGAAAGAGCCTTATTGCTCAGGTAAAGTTGGAGATGTCAAAGATATACAATAAAAACATTTGGTAAGTTTTATGCAATGCGTCTATTCAGAGTAACATACCAACCCGAAGTTTCCTTTGCTGCTTAATATATTAAAAAAAAAAAACAGCATAGAAATTATATAAATCGTCAACACCGTGTGAGAAGAAAACTGCAGAATAAAATGTACAAAGCTGTATAACGGTCTTGTCGGAATTAAAAAATAAAAGAAAATTGCGCTTTTCAGAGATTTTTTATAGCGAAATTCCATGTGTCGAACAAGTATATGTAAATAGTGTTAATGTCTACTCTTATTATGCATGACTAACCATATTCTAGGGGGCACTGTGCTAATGTGAAGTTAGGTTGTGATTCGAATTAGTTATTCAATATTAGGATTTACATCACAATTCTGCGTTCAGTAATGCCTCAAGATAAATGTGAGAAATATGGTATGGATTATTATATACCATATGTTAGGCCTACACGTCATGTTGAGTCTGATACTAGTAAAAAGGAATTGATTATCTTTTTAGTATCTCTTATTACAGAAAAAAGTTAAAACAAAATTTATATACTTTTACCCACATATTTTATTTCATATTTTCCCATTCTTCAACAGAAAAATTTATTAGATTCTCAAGCATTGAAAGAAGAAATATCTAACCGTGATAATAAGATTAAAGATATGAGACAAATCATCAGTCGTTTAGAGATAGATTTAACACAAGCTCGTCACAGTCATGAACAAAGTCAAAACAGACTGGAAAACTCAAGTATGGAGAGTCAGGTAATGTTTGATAATTTTTTCATAATTTGTAACAGACATGATGCAATTGATGATACTTTTAAGAAGAGAGCTGACATTCTGTAAAATTTGGTTTGCTATGATTTAACTTAACAGTTACAAAGGGGATGAGCAAATAAGATTGTGTAAAACTTAAGACAAATATGTCAATGTGGATGTTTTGAAATTAATTCTGAATCGTACGCATATAGCCTATAGTGGTTTTCAAAAATTTTAGCAGATGCTTATGAAAAATTCCCAGCCTGTAAGTGAGCCAGAGCATGGATATTCAGTAATTTTTTTAAATATGATAATATGTTGATAATGTTTGTTTTTGTATTGAAAGTGATAATGTTGTTCAGATTTTTGCTTTTTTTTCTAGCAAAAATTACTAGAGTTACAGAAAGGTGTAGATGGCAGCAAATTGGAGACAAATGAAGCTAAGAGAGGTAAAATATTGAATTTAATGATTTATTTTAAAAATAAGACATGTAAATTTGTACCAGGAATAGTAGAATGTTGGAATATTGTTGCTATTGTTTGTAAATTTAAAAAAACAAAACAATTACTACTCCCTTTATATGAAATTTCATTTCTCTGTGATTAAGATAGCTGACAGTTTTTATTTAACCATATGAAAATCTGCTTTATATCTTAGTAGTGTTTCATTATTTTGTATAGAAATGGAAAAATTACATGAATCTCAGATTAATAAAATGTTAGAAAGTCATAGTAAAGAAATAGACGAATTAAAAGAACAGCATCAAGAAGAGATCAATAAATTAACGGTAGGTAATGTTTATTATGGTTAGATTAATAAATGTACAAAAATCTCAATATTTATAAATCCATTTTTATATCGTCATTTTATGTTAATGTTAATAGAACAAATGTTCATTTTCATTGATTTTATCATAAATAATGATGCTTTTACCATTTATTGTATCATCACATTATGTATATTGTTTTATGTTTGAATTAAACAATTAGAAGGAAGAAGGTTTCACTATGAGTAATCTGAGTATCAGTGGTATTTTGACCATGAAGTGATCTTCAGTAGTAAACATAGCCAAAGACAACATACACATTACTTAAAGATGCATTATGTAAGAGCTAAATCTGCCTATTACAGATCTTTCTTTCGGCTTAAAATGTTAAATAAATTATTACACATTTATTCACATGTCAAGCCCATAATCTACTCTCTAGACTATTGGATGATCGTGATTTTGAATAGATTCAAACACAATTGCCATTTAATAATTTAATTTAAAAATGGATAAACAAGACCATTTTTTTTATTCTCGTAGCAATGGTACATGACTGAATCAGGACTATATTTTAAAAACTTCAAACTTTCAATCAGAATACAGTAATTTAACTGAAATATTCAATATATTAATTCCTCATTATCTATTTTTGACCTATTATAGCAAGAATGATCAGCTATTTATCTAAATCTTACACAATTCATCTTTAAAACTCATGTTCTGCACATGATTGCCCAATTGCCAGTGAATCATTGACTGAACATCAATAGAGAATCGTCAAAACTGTATCTGCAAAATTTTGAAAAAAATGTTTTTTTGCTCTAGGTGTTTGCTTAACTTTCCTTCAAGATTCATCCAAAGTAAAAACACCTATATGGATATACTACTTCTGAATTTATTAACATGCTACAATTCGATACACATACAGATATCGTTATCAAGCAAATAATAATATTTAACAATCATCTTAAGAAACAAGATGAGATAAGTAATAATATGGATAAACAATTACAAAGGATTAACAAGATGAAAGACTGTAATGTATTGATAACAATTAGAAACGAGTTGAATTTAGCAGATCAAACTAATAATTATAAGAGATTAACGAGATGAGATATAGATAACAATTAAACAGAAACCAACGAACGAAATGTTAAATATCATTATTTGCTTGATAACGATATCTGTATGTGTATCGAAACGTAGCATGTTAATAAATTCAGAAGTAGTATATCCATATAAGTGTTTTTACTTTATGAAATCTACTTCTATATGTCTTATAAGGTTTAAAATTCATCCACTTTGGATGTTCAGCCAATGATTCTAAGAGGATGTGCATAACATTAGGTATGCTTATAGCCACTACACACATCCTCTAATATACATAGCCAATAAACACTTCCTCTAATATACATAGTCAATACAGGCATCCTCTGATATACTTAGCCAATACACACATCCTCTATAATATACATAGCCAATACCCCCACCCGGGAATATACATAGACAATACCACCCCCCCCCCCCCAAATATACATAGCCAATGCACACATCCCCTAATATACATAGTCAATTCACACATCCTCTAATATGCATAGACAATTCACACATCCTCTAATATACATAGACAATAAACATATCCTCTAATATACATAGACAATAAACATATCCTCTAATATACATAGACAATAAAAACAGACACCCTGGAATATACATAGCCAATACACACATCCTCAATATACACAGCCAGTACACACATCCTCTAATATACACGACCAATACACACATCCCAAATATACATAGCCAATACACACATCCTCTAATATACATAGACAATACACATACCCTCTGATATATGTAGCCAATATACACATCATCAATAAACATAGCCAATACACACCTCTAATATACATTGTCAATACACACATCCTCTGATATACATAGCCAATACACACATCCTCTATTATACATAGCCTATACACCAACTCTGGAATATACATAGGCAATACACACACCCTCTAATATACATCGCCAATACACACATCCGGTTATATACATAATCAATTCACACTCCTCTAATATACATAGACAATACACACATCCTCTAATATACATAGCCAATAAAAACATGGTCTAATACACCTTTTGGTTAATAAATATACCAAGTCTATATTTGAATCCTATTTGATTACTTGATTCAATCAAGAGGATCAAATTTGGGATCACTTTTGGTGCATTTTCAGATTTAGTTGATGTAATGATGTATAAATACCAAAAGTTATTATCAACAAATCATACCACACATAGGTTTAATTATCGGCAGATAGTTCCATGTCTTTCTGTTTCTCTTCAAATATTATTTCCGTTGTGCAAAAACTGTTCAGAATTTTATAATCGTGCATCTCGGTAACACAAAATACCGGCTTCGTTTTGAAATTCACAGGGCAATGTATCCATACGATTGTACTCTTAGTTATTAACTATATATTAATCACAAGTACAACTCCATTTTGAAATCCATGGAGAAAATGATAGCATTTCATAGATCGCTATCATGCCTCAGCCAATCAACGCTTTGAATTATATTACGGTAAAAGGGACCATGCCATATGAGTTATTGTATGCTACACAGATGCAGTGAAAATGGTTAAATTTAGCACGAAAGTTGCACAAGGTTTTTTCCACGGTCTTGCATAATTAACACACAAGACCCAATAATACACGCAATCTGCGATGCCTTTTTAACAAGTGATTTTTTGTTTTAAATACATTTTTATAAAGACAATAAACGATGTTAGGACGTCCCGAACTGCTCTTATCAAGAATATTTCGATTTCAGTATCTGTCGAATAAACAAAAACAAAGTAATTTAATCAGGAATATTATTAACATGAACAGTCGGAACGTGAATTAAATAAGGAAATTATTGAGAAGCGGTGGCCCTTTTTGATAATTTTTGTGGTATTTATAAAACTAATAACCAGAGAGCATTGGAATTAGACCCTGTTATGGAATATGATCAATTAAAATTATGAAATAAAGTGTGTTTATATTTAAATGTTACCCACAAAATTGACAGGGATGTAATATAATTTATAAAAATATAAATAATATACAGCGTATTTACAATTATGGGGTGATGATGATGTGAAAAGCAATATTATATTTACGAGTATAATCGGTGATATAATCATTGTAAATAAAATTTAGTAGACATACCATCAATCGTTTCCAAATTAACGTTATTGTCTTCATTCGCTATTTTTGTTGCCCAAACTCAAACGGTCAAAAAGGTCGTGCTCTGTTTTGATTACAACACACGTGATTGTCAAAATTTGTCAACCTTACCCCCCTTCAACTATTACGATTGTTTAGCTCATCAAGTGACATATGTAATGTTGTGATGGACATAGTCGAAAATACAAAAAGAAAAATATTGACTTTTCATGAGAATACCTTTTTTTATACGCCCACATTTTCATGTGGACGTATATTGTCGTCGCCCCTGTCTGTCCGTCCGGATGTCTGTCCACAATTGTTTGTGAACAGTCTACAGGTCACAATTTTTATCCGATTTCAATGAAACTTGAAATATAGGTTTATCACCCTAAGATCTCGGTTCCTTTCGATATTGGCATGTATCGGACTGTAACTTCATGGATTATGGCCCCTGATTGTACAAAAAATCACGTTTTTAGCTTGTGAACACTGTAGAGGTCACAATTTTTATCCGATTTAGTTTAAACTTGAAATGTATGATTATAAACCAAAGATCTCGGTTCCTTTCGATATTCGCGCATATCGGACCGTAACTTCCTGAATAATGACCCCTGATTGTACGAAAAATCGCGTTTTTAGCTTGTGGACCCTATAGAGGTCATAATTTTTATCCGATTTAAAAAAACATATTATTATATCACCGTTACACCCTAAGGACGACCGAGTCCGAATTTCTTGACAGACAAAATGGCCGCCGTTCGTTCTCAACTAGCGTAAAAATATGGTATATCAAGGTTGTGGACCCTATAGAGGTCACAATGTTTACTATTTTGTTAAAACTTGAAATGTAAGTTTACAACCCAAAGATCTCGGTTCCTTTCGATATTCGCGCATATCGGACCGTAACTTCCTGAATTATGGCCCTGATTGTACGAAAAATCGCGATTTTAGCTTGTGGAGCCCATAGAGGTCATAATTTTTATCCGATTTAGAAAAACGTATTATTATATCACCATTAGACCCTAAGGATGACTGAGTTCGAATATGTGAAAATCTGCCCAAAACTGACAGACAAAATGGCTGCCCTTCGTTCTCAAATAGCGTAAAAATATGGTATATCAAGGTTGTGGACCCTATAGAGGTCACAATTTTTATACGATTTTGTTGAAACTTGAAATGTAAGTTTGTAACTCAAAGATCTCGGTTCCTTTCGATATTCGTGCATATCGGACCATAACTTCCTGAATTATGGCCCCTGATTGTACGAAAAATCACTTTCTTTTTAGCTTGTTCTCTATCCATCTCTCGAAAATGTGGGCGTATCCTGCCTGGCAGCCGCTGGTTTTGTTGGGATATTAAATTGTGCAATGGATTTTATTCAACCGAAGGTGATTTCAAACACATAGGCAAGTTTTTAATAACAATTATTCAGTAGTTTGTTCACAATCAAAGAAATCTGTTTAAAATTACCACTGTTCAGACAGTAGTTTCCTTTGATAAATAACGAACACACACCTATGGTCATTTGATTTGACAAAGCCTGTGGCAGCTTCTAATCCTCAAAGGGTCGCCAATACAAACTCCTGTACCGCTTGCTACGAATTTCCGCCACAATACTGGTCTGCAGATATTTTAGTGAATAAAATTGATTAATTGCATGTGTAAAACTCTTAGAAACATTCATCTTAGTCATGGAAAACTCTTGCAGTTGTTAGCTTTTCAAGAAAATAAAAACTTTCCATTTCCATGTCCATGTGTAGTTAGCGATTAGTCCCCAATTTCCATGCTATTCCCTGGTG